GTCCCCCCCACTCGGCTGGGAGAACAGCTTTTGGGTAGAAGGAGCTGGTCATGCTTCAGACACTGACCTGCTTTGTCCTGGGAGTCGTCGAACTCCACGTTGAAAGCGTGGCCGTTGTTGAGGATCCTCCTGGACGTCGCCTGCTCGTAGGAGATGCTCAGGGGCTTCAGTGCGGGGTCGTAAGCCGCTGCTTTGGTGTCAATGTCCACGGGGGACTGGCGGTTGCCCTTGGCGATGGGAAAGTCCTTGTGCCAGTGCTCAGGTCCTAGGATGAGAAAGGACGTGTGAGCCCCCAGTGTGGGGATGGGCACCCCCACATCCCCAGGGAAGGGCAGTTTTGCTCGGTTCCCATTTTGGTGGCACCACTGAGCAGAATAACGGGGGAGGGGGCACTCCTGCCTGAGTTTCCCCATTTCTATTATGGGCTAATAATGGCATCTACCCGCAGAGACTTGCGAGGCTTGGCACCCGCACGTGGTGAGCGCCACACAGCTACTCCGCGTTTCCATGTGGTCTTGCTGATGGGCAGCCCGGCAGTGGGCAGACACTGGGCAGGCTGGAGGCAGGGATCTGGGACCTGCGAGCTCACTCAGACATCCTGGCAGGTGGGGGCTGAACCCCGGGGTCCTGATGCTGGAGGGAGGGCAGTCGCTGCTCAGGCCAGGCCCCCCCCCCATGGCCCAGGTCCCCACAGCCCAGGAAGCCCCAGCCCCCAAAGACACATCCTGCTGTTTGGACTGCAGGCTCTGGGAACCCAGATCTGGGCAGTAAAGCCGGGCGCCTGGTCGCCTCCTGACATGAGGGTCCAGAGATGAAGGGTGAACTCAGGTCAGGCAAAGGGCTCTAACCGGCCTGAGAAATGCCCCGGGACAGGTGGTGCCCGAGCCTTAGCTACAGGTGGCGCTGAGGATGGGGTGCGGGGGCGCCAGGGCTCCTAATTTCTCTGTCACCGACACCTAACAATTCCCTTTACCACCTTTTCTCGTCTCTCCCAGGTCCAGGTAGGAGGGTCTGCTTTCAGCTGGGGGACCCCGAGGAGCTGCCCTCCCGTCTGGAGCTAAGGCTGCGCCCCACTCGGGCCCTGTGCGCGCCGGGCGTGGGGGTTCC